GAATTAGTGTAACGGGTGCACTCGGCACGCGACATTTTTTGAAGTCTGGGCGCAAAAATGCGACTTTTTGGTATACTAAGCTTGGTTATATGTTTAACTGGGTCGATTGGGGAAAGACAAAAACATCTATAGACTTTGCTCAAGCACGCCATGTTTCTGATACGGCAACATCTGATGGAAGAGTTCGCTCTTATGCTTTCACAGTTGTTCAAGATGTCGATAAAATTGGTACAGAAGTTTATGGAACTGTCCGAAATCATCAATTAGACGTTTCTGGCATTGATTATAAAAGACTTTTTGCTGTAATGATTGGAGCTCGTGTTAAGTTTTAAGGAAAATGACAGGTGATGTCCGTATTAATAAAAAATCTTAAAATAAAGTCTTTTTCCTTATTCGTAGTTTTATCTTTTTCTGTAGGACTTTCCTGTTCCCTAGGGGGGTGTGGTCATTTTGAACCAGATACACCTCCACCACCATCAGAAGACGCAGAAGAAAGGCCAGGATTGTTCTCGGGCGAGAAAGGTAAATTTGAATTCAACTTTTAAAATTCTATTCCATGGATCTTTTGTGCCTTAAAACACAAAATTATTTCTTCTACAGCCCTACAAAAATATCTTTTAAAAAATTAAGCAGCACTAGAAGATTTATTCTGCAAGCGATAATAACGCCAAACACTCGCCGGAGGAATATTACGAAACGTTGTAGCAACAAGTTCATGAGATAATCCTAAGGGTTTTGATTGAATGGGTGAAATAGGAATGTAAGTAAATTGAAGCATCTGACAATTGGGAGCCATAATTTCAAAACAAGCTTCTATAATTTTCTTTTGTACATTAAAGGGAATACTTTTAAACGGGAGCCCAGTAACAATTGTTGTTACGTTCCCGATAACTTTTTCAGGCAAGAGACGAGGAACATCCATCGCGTTTCCACAAATGAGATTGACCTCTGGAATGGTGATCGATAAAAAATTATAAAATTCTTTATCAAGTTCTAGAGCATAGATTCTATCCGGAGCAATGCCTGACTCTATGAGAGCCCGGGTTAAACGTCCTGTACCTGCGCCAAGCTCTAAAACATAACCTTTCTGATCATCTTCTTGTGCATACTTTGCAACCAAACGTGCAAGAGCTTGAGAGCTGGGTGCCACAGACCCTAATCTCAAAGGGTGCCGTAACCATCTTCTTAAAAAAAGAAGCTTTTCATCTCGAACAACTTTGGATTTTAAAGAATACATACTCACCCTTCAAAAGAGAAACTTTACTTTCAGGTCCAGTCCTCTATACATGAGTCATGTTGAATTTTTCAAGTCTTTGAGGAAATGATGGCATACAAAATAGCAGTCGTTGGAGCAACAGGAGTTGTAGGGCAAGCTATGCTAAATTTTTTAGCGAATAGAGATTTCCCTTGTTCAGGTGTGATCGCTTTATCTTCAAAAGAATCTATAAATAAAGAAGTTTCTTTTGGGGAAAATGAAGTTCTAAAAGTTCAGGATCTAGAAGGATTCTCATTTGAAGGGATAGACTTTGTGTTAAGCGCCATTTCACCGGAATTAACACGCAGATTTGCCTTTAAAGCTGCTGCAGAAGGAGCGATTGTTATAGATAACTCTCCTGCTTTTCGTCGCGAAAAAGATGTTCCCCTCATTATTCCCGAATTAAATGGTGATCTTTTAGATCAAAAAATCGAACTAGGAATCATTGCGAGCCCAAACTGTATAGCAATTCCACTTGCTTTATCTTTAGCCCCTTTAAAAACTGTAGGAAAAATTCACCGGGTCGTTACCTCAACATACCAATCTGTTTCCGGAGCAGGGCGATCCGCTATGGATGAACTCTTTTCTCAAACACGCCAAGCTTTTTCTAATGACGTAAAAGAAAGCAAAAACTTTTCACGTCAAATTGCATTTAATGTCATTCCTGCTATCGGGGACTTTGATCAAAATGGCATTACGGGAGAAGAAGATAAGATTTCTTATGAAACTCAAAACCTAATAGATTTACAAATAGAGATGAGTGTAACAGCTGTAAGAGTACCTGTATTTGTAGGGCATGCTGCCTCTATAAACGTTGCCTTT